AAACCTCAAGTGTCAATATACAGATTTTTTCCCCCAAGGACATTAAATTTCTCCAGTGAGGTCTCCAACCTCCCGCTGGGGATGAGATTTCAACTACTTTGGGTAAATACCAAAGGGTACAATTACTGGATCATATGGTAAGAGTATGTTTAAGAAATTTTTAAAGAGTCTTCCAAAAGTGCTATCCCATTTTGTCTTCCCTCCAACAATGAAGGAGTTCCTGCTGCTCCACAGCCTTGCCATCCTCTGGTGTTGTTAAGGGTTTAGATTTTGGCCACTCTAGCGGGTGAGCAGTGGTATTTCACTGCATAGTTTCAATTTGCTTTTTGCTCATGACATAGGAGGTAAGTATGTGCCATCTATCCATCTTTGGTGAGGTGTCTGTTAAGGTTTTATAATGGAGTTGTTTATTTTCTTGTTGTACTTTAAGAGCTTTTGCTTTAAGCAAATCACTAGTGGATGACAAAATCACTGGGTGAAAGTTTGTTGGCAAATGGGGTATTTATTTACACAATCATTCCTCAGATTACTTATTAATTACAAAGAGAAGACTGTGGACATAACACAGTGCTCAAAAATAACATAACAACACTGAGAAATTGACTCTATATATATATCCCTCTTGATGTGCAGTAGTAAGAGGGACCTATCACAGCTAAAACTGTAACAGAAATCTAACTGTGAGGAAGCAAGCAAATGAGCTTAGGATATTCTGATAGATGAAGAGACAAGGTAATTTATAAAGCAATATGCCTGTACTCTTTAAAAAAATGCTATGAAGAAAAAAGTGAAGAACTGTCTCAGAGTAAAGGCCAACACAAAGGTATGACAACTAAATACAATGCTTCATGCTGGATTTAAAAAAAAAAAAAGTTCTATAAAGGACAGTATTAAAAAAAAAACTGGCAACACTGAATACCTAGTATATACTAGGTGACACTATTACATCAATGTTAAATCTTCTTGAATCTGATACAATTACATTCTGTTCAATGATCTTGTTCTCAGGCAATGTATGTAACTTCTCTGAAGGCCTTAAGGCACCAGCAAAAAAAAAAAAAAAAAGGATAAAAGTAGAACATACATATATTATTGAGTATATAACAGGAAGAAGTAGTGCAATGTGGAAAAGAGCCAACAAGGTGAATCTGAACAGTTCACTGTAATATCCTTGCAGTTTCCTGTAGATGTGACATTTTTCAAATTAGAAAAAAATTTAATCAACAAACAGAAAATCAGTTTTCATCAAATAGTCTACAACAATGTCGAGAACTTGGCTCATTATCACCCAGGATGGAAGTTTTCTAAACTTGGGTCTATCTCCTTGAACACTGACTTCAAAGAGAACGTTTCTAACATCTATATGATTGTTCTAAAAGTACTTCCAAGATCCCATCACGGGATATGCTTACCTTAGGGTGAAGTAGGCAGAATTCAATACACTGTGCCATGTAAACATGAATTTAAAACCTAAGGGGGGGTCTCCTTGGTGGCACAGGGGTTAAAGACACAGCGCTATCCAGCTATCACCAGCTATCACTCACTGCAACATGAGTTTGATCCCCAGCCAGGGGGGTGACCCACATGGCGCAGCAGACCTCTCCTGTCTTGCCCACAGCTCCCCTCAGCAGTGTGTTTCAATAGATCTACCTGCTCTGCTCCCCACTCTGTCTCTGGTGAATCCTCTCACCACCATCACCATCCCCCCACATACACCTCTGGCCTACACCCCAGTTTTTATATGCGTAAATAAATGAATCTTTTAAAAAAATCTCTTCAGCTCTTGTGTGGAGATTTCTGGACCTACTAAACATAGAGCTTCCATAGGAGCCAGCAATTCCACTCCTAGGTATTTACCCAAAGGACACAGAAACATCAATTCCAAAGAGCACCTGCACCCCTATGTTTATAGCAGCACTGTTTACAATAGCTAAGCTTTGGAAACAACCCAAATGTCCAAAAATAGATGACTGGATCAAGAAGATGTGGTACATATACATCATGGAATATTACTCAGCATTCAAAAAAGATAAACACATACAGTTTGCAGCAACATGGATGGCACTGGAAGGGATCATGCTCAGCGAAATAAGCCAGAAAGAAAAAGAAAAATACCGGATGGTCTCACTCATAGCAGGAATCTAGAAAACTTAAATAAGGGACCAGGAAAATGAATAACTGTAAGAAAGTGAAAATCAAAATCAACAAAAAACTATGAACCAGAGATACTCTATGGGGGGTGGGGGGCGGGGAGGGAAGGGATTGAGGTCAAAATAAGGGGGATGCAATTGTATGGGGAATATAAAAATAAAATTTATTATAAAAAAATAAATTAAGAATTACAAAGCAAAAAAAAAAATCTCTTCAGCTCTTATAGAAAAATAAAGTAGGTAAGTACGAACTGGTCAGGCTGCTAGGAATCATGAAAGTGAGCAAATGAGAGGCCAAATGTAGATTAGTATAGAGTAAATGCAGCTGAAGTGTGTAGGTAAAGATTTAGGGGCATTACTCTGAATATAGAGAAGGGGAAATGAAGTAAAGGGACTAGAAGCAGAGAGACCATTTAGGAAGCTATTGCAGTGATCCAGATGGGAAGGGGTGATAAAAATAGATTAAGGTAATAGTCAAAACAGAGAGAAAAAGGTAAATAATTTGAAAGAAAAAACTGAATAATATGGTAAAAGACTATATAAAATGACTCCCAATAGTATCTAACCCTTAAAACCTAAAAAACTGGGAAAAGATCACATCAATTACTGAAAAATATATATATATGTTTTCAATTTTTTAAAAAGATTTTATTTATTTATGCATACAAGAGCTAGGGTGTAGGCCAGAGGTACAGGTTGGGGGTGAGACGACTCACCAGAGACAGAGTGGGGAGCAGAACAGGCAGACTGACTGAAATACACTGCTGAGGGGAGCAGTGGGTGGGACAGGAGAGGTCTGCTGCGCCATGTGGATAGCTCCCTGGGCAGGGATCAAACTCACTTGTGCTGCAGTGGCTCCCGATAGCTACATAGTGCTAAAACTTAACCCCTTGCATCACCAGGGAGGCTCTATATTTTCAAATTTTCACAAAAGAACTTTTAAAAAAATGTTTTGAATTCAGTCTTAGGAGCTCAATACAGCAAATCAGGAATAAGAAAAAACAATTGAGTACAAGTTCAAATGCAAACAGAACAAAACAGTAAATTTCTCACTTTCAAGGCATCAGAGTTATTAAATTATAAAGATCCCTTTTTCCATTCAGAAAATTATTTTTAGCTAAATGAGAAACAGAAAAGTTAAAAAAAATTGTCTTCCTACCAAAGAGTTACAAAATTTGAAAATAAAGGAGTAATCAGAAATATACTCAGAGTTTTAGAAAAGATAGAAGAAAGCAGAAATGGCAATATTTATAACAGAATTCCAGGCCAAAAGAGATAAAATGAGATTAAAAGGAGTATTATTGAGTAATGATAAAACAACGTATGAAAATACAATCGCTACAAACCTATACAAATAAGTTACATACTAGTAAAATCTATGAATCAAAAATTCCTAGAGATACGAGGAGAGCTTCATAAAAGCAAATCTATACCTGAAGATTCAAAAGACCTCTTTAACAGGTGAAGTAGATATAAGTAAAAATATTAAAAATCTGAAGACTAAAACCAAGTGGTTTATAGGTATATATAGCATTTAATCTTTTTGTATTACATTCCTCATAAAATGGCGATAAACAATACCTACCCTATAGGGTTGTGGCAAGGATAAATAAATAAATAAATAAATAAATAAAATACCTTCCACTCCCATTTGAGAAAAGAAAACTCTTAAGCTTAATAAGGTGTTTAGAACTATACCTGAGCGGGCACAGCAAGTTCTAGAGTGGGTGCATTTGCTGAACAGTCAAAATTACCCTTGAAAAATTTCTTATATATTAGACTTGGGGCTTTGGAAACTCAAAAGTTAATGTTTTAGGCTTCTTTTTGCATTAAGGCTATAGACACTCTGCCCTGAGTCTTAAGTAAATGAAGTTAGATAGATAGGGGAAGGAAAGAAGATGGAAAAATAGAGATTTTGTCCCCACCTCCATACGGTAAATTCAGTATACTTATCAGCAGGAATCCACTGTGGCCAGTTGATTCTTAGTCTTTAAATAAAAGTATAGATGTGGAGTATAATTTTGCTTCAATTTTAATAACCACTATTGAGGAAAAAAATAGAAAAGTAGGTGGAAGTATGGTAGTGAAAGATCCAATGATTTGCAATTCTTATTAAAATTTGCCAGTCATTATTTTATACCTCTCAAAAGTTGCCATAGTCTTGCTATTTTACATCTAAAGGAGTACAATTTGAAAATGATGCATATAACTATATACATCCTATTATATAGATCAGTATATGTGACACTTGCTTCAGCACTTACTCATCACCCACTGTGTAATAAAAATATGGTTAAGACTCCAGATTTCATTCCACAAGCATTTGCTGAGCTGAAAAATGAAGTCCAAAGCAAAAAACAAAACAGAACAAAAAAAATCCACCATGTAATTTAGTTGGAACCATAATATCTACGCAGGGTAAGGACTTAAAACAATACACAACGACCTGGAAGCTAATTTTTTTTTTTTTTTTTTGTGGGACCCTCGCCGGTGGCCGGGGATCAAACTGGCGCTGCAGAGGCTGTGGGCAGCCTCGCAGCCCAGCGCTCAACCGCTGCGCCACCAGGGGAAGCCCTGGAAGCTAATTTATGTAAAGGAAGGAACTATTTCTTATTTTTTAATGTCTCCCATTGAAAGTGTTTAATAAGTTCTAACTAATTTAAAATTAATTCTATTAATATTTAAATGAGTATAGTGAGAAAAAACAGGTACTTTTTTTTAAAAAAAAATTCTCTCTTTGAGAAGGAAAAAATAGTAAAAGTGAAGGGTATGCAGAATTGACTAGGCTAGCTGAGAGAGTGAAAACTTGAGATGTTAGTGATAAACCCAAGAAGGTGCTTAGCCACTTACCCAGTGATTTATTTAATGAGAATGGATCGCAGATTTCCAGAGGTCCTTCCACGGCCAGTAATAGTCGTGAACCTTGGGTCCCTTTTTTCACTAGTCAACAGTCACCCTCACCTACACGCGGAGTACATATTTGGCACTCAACAAATCTTCATTGACTGAAAACCTACCTAACTCACATTGGTACCCAACCCGGAGTATGGCCCCACAAGTTACCTCCAAAAGGCCTTATGACAACCCAAAGAGCTGAGAGAAGTAGAGACGAAAGCTCTGAGGAGCTTTGTAAAGCCTGGGAACAAACAAGGACCAAAGGGGTCCACACCACCCGACTCCCCAAAGAAAGCTCAGGGGACTTTAGCGTGGCTAGTCGGCTTTGACTTCAAAAGGAGGTACCCAACAGGCCGCAGATCCATAGCCTCCCACCCGGGGGCGCTGAGAAATCTGGGGGTATCCTCCCCAAAAGTTAGTACCTGCGAAGTTGCGACACAGAGAGTGACTCGGGACTCTCATTACGGAGGCTGGGGCCTGGGACCGGCCAGCTGCGCCTCCTGCCTGAGGGCTCCGCGCTCCGGGGCTGCAGTGACAGCACGGGTCGCAGATAGATACCTCAAGCCTCAGGAGGCTCCTGGTTGACAGATCCTGGTGTTTCGCTCCCAGGACTGCGCGAATTGTCCCACTCACGTCGACGCGAACCCAAGGATCCGCTTACAGTTCAAACGATCACTCCTGTCTTAAACGCAGCAGCCGGTCGCTTCCCGGCGCCGCCATCGTTAGTGTTTGTTTTCATCCGCTTCGGTGAAGGCGGGGGGAGCGGAGGGGGTATAAGGGAAACCCAATTGCCCAATATCATCCGCACTTTCGCGACACCAGGGACTTTTTATTTTTGACTCTTTTTTCTTCGAAATTTCAGTGAATTTGAATTTATTTACACAAAAACCTTTCTCAACAATTTTTTTAAGAGTTTCAGCGGGAAAAACTTGTGTGAACGGGTCTTTGAAAGAACGACAACGTTTAAACTCTGTGTGGAATGTGCGTTGGCAAACCTCACGCCGCGGCGGCAGCGTCGGTGAGGACGCGGCGCTGGGCGGGCAGTGACGCAAAGGAGGCGGCGCCGCTGCTGGGCTCCGTGGCGGTTCGTGCGCTGCTGCGCGTACCGGAGGAGGGCCGGACCCGGCCGGGTGGGTGGGTGGGGAGTGAGGCTGGTTACCTGGCAGCCGAGGAGAGGTGGGTGACAGGCTTCGGCTGACTTTGAGTGACCGGCTCAGACGTCCGTATCCATTTCTAAAGCGCCTTTTCACAGGCGGCGGAGTCGCCTGAGAGTAGCTCTCTCAGGCTCTTCTTTCGTGCCCTTTCCAACCTGTCTGGCGCGTCTGGTCTTCACTACTTCTAGCCCTCAGCCTCACGTTTTGGATTTCTTGGGGTGAGGGGAAAGTCTGTTAGAACACATAATCTATGTCCATTAGGCTGGGTCGTGGACGGTTGTTTTTCTTTTGTCCCTCCTCCCTTGTCAGACTGATTTAAGCACAACTTCCCTCCCCCCCAATACATATATTTGTCCCATATTTATCCTGTGGATCCAACGGGATCTAGGTGATAAAATTCGCTTTGACTAATCGCTTCCCTAGGTACTTATAGGACATGCAGCTGCTTCGTGACCTGTGTAGTTACGAGCAGATCTGTTTAACCCTGGCGTAATTTTCCCGTTGGTTCATTAGTCTTTGACTGTTGCTAGTCCAAATGCCAGGCACTGAGTGAGACTCTGACATTCATCTTCTGTTACCCTTCAAGCCCAAGCAAGCCTGTTGTACAGCCATGAGTTAGTAGAGAAAAGCCAAGTTAACAGGTGTAGCACCTTTTGCTTGAACAAAATGGAAATTTGAGGAAAAGAGTTGTAACCATTGAGTCACTTTCAAGTCTTTGCTAGGTTTCTAATGTTTTTTTTTTCTTTTAACCTTTACAGAGAGAAGATTATAAGTGCCAGAGCCAGTTAACTGATGGTTAGCTGCTGTTGAATTCTGACAGTTCCTTAAATACCTTCTTGCACCAACATCTTCATTGGAAGGAATTCAGAAAAAATAGCAGAGGGAAGTAGAGACATCATTTACATGTAGCATGGCTATACCAATAACAGTGCTTGACTGTGACCTCTTGCTGTATGGCCGAGGTCACCGGACATTGGACCGCTTTAAGCTGGATGATGTGACTGATGAATACTTGATGTCAGTGTATGGGTTTCCTCGACAGTTCATTTATTACTTGGTGGAGCTCTTGGGAGCAAGTCTTTCTAGACCTACTCAGAGATCCAGGGCTATTAGCCCAGAGACACAGATCCTTGCAGCATTGGGCTTCTATACCTCAGGATCCTTTCAGACTCGAATGGGAGATGCTATTGGAATCAGTCAGGCCTCTATGAGTCGTTGTGTTACCAATGTGACCGAAGCCCTTGTGGAAAGAGCCTCCCAGTTCATTCACTTTCCAGCTGATGAAACATCCATGCAGGCTCTGAAGGATGAATTCTATGGTTTGGCTGGGATGCCTGGAGTGATAGGAGTGGTTGACTGTATCCATGTGGCAATCAAGGCACCAAATGCCGAAGACCTCTCTTATGTAAACCGCAAAGGTCTGCATTCATTAAACTGCCTAATGGTGTGTGACATCAGAGGGGCACTAATGACTGTGGAGACCAACTGGCCAGGCAGCCTGCAGGACTGTGCTGTGCTGCAACAGTCTTCTCTCGGTACTCAGTTTGAAGCTGGAATGCACAAAGAGAGTTGGCTGCTTGGTAAGTTTGCAGTGTAAAAATATCTTTGTAGCCAAAGATAAATTGTTTAGCAGAGTAGAATAAAATAGGAGAGTCTGTAAACCTGAGTCTTAATCCTTTCCCTTTGCTGAGACTTTAGGTGAAAACTCTTAGAACCTAAATTTCTAAAAGTCATTTGAAAAACATGTATTAGAATTTAAAGACCTAGTATTTGACCTAGATTCCAAGATGTGTAAATGAGAACCCATTTTGTTGCTTACATAAGAGGAGTGCTTAAAAATAAATAAGTAAATTAATAAATTAAATAAAAGAAAAAATTTGGCTTTGGGCCTCCCTGGTGGCGCAGGCCATTGAGCGCCACACCATAAATCTGTCCTCAGCCTCTGCAGCGCGGGTTCCACCCCGGCCAGCCCAGGAGAAACCCACATGGCGCAGCAGACCTCTCCTTTCTTGCCCCTCAGCAGTGTATTTCGTCAGTCTGCCTGTTCTGTTTCCCGCTCTGTCTCTGGTGAATCCTCTCACCATCCCGTGCATTTGGCCTGTACCCAGTTCTTGTATAAATAAATAAAAAAAAAACTTAAAAAAAATTTGGCCTCCCTGGTGATGCAAGAGGTAAAGTGTCAGCACTATGAAGCTATCCGCAGCCACTGTAGCATGAGTTCAATCCCCAGCCATGGCGCTAACCCACATGGCGCAGCAGACCTCTCCTGTCTTGCCCACTGCTCCCCTCAGCAGTGTATATCAGTACATCTGCCTGTTCTGCTCCCCACTCTGTCTCTGGTGGATCTTCTCACCTCCCCCACCCCACCTCTGGCTTGTGTGAGAGGATTCACCAGAGAAAGTGGGGAGCAGAACAGGCAGATCTACTGAAATACACTGCTGAGGGGAACAGCTGGCAAGACAGAAGAGGTCTGCTGTGCCATGTGATTTAGCAACCTGGACTGGGATCGAACTCAGGCCATAGAGGTGATAGGGCTGAGACTTAACCCTTAGGATACCAGGGAGGTCCATAAAGTAACCTTTTTAGTTGTTTACAGAGTACAGTTGATAATAAGTAAAAACTCTTGACAAATTTTTGTATGCTTTTCTGATTCCTCTCCCTACAGAATGGGTGGAAGTGGGTGGAAGTACTTGGGAGAGATGACTATTGAAGCCACATTTAACAAATACTAAGACCAGTTTTGGGGTGCTGGGCCACATGCTAGGCACTCATGATTTTGGGGAAGTATACCCAAGGGAATCATGATGTGGAAATTGATTCCCTTAGTACTGTCAGTTCTTGAAAATACCTTCTAGGAAAATTTCCAGAAATTCTAACAGGAAAGAAATCTAGTTTAAAGATCCCTGAACTAGAACAGTATTTCACAATTTTTCAGATCAAAAGAGCCATTGGGGGAATTTATTTTAAATGTTCAAACTACAGAAATGAGAAAAAAATCTAGACATCTGTTTTTGAAAGGTGCCCTAAATGATTCATACAAATAGGTAAGTTTGGAGAACACTGTTCTCTAAAGGATGTGTATACAACGGTGTGATTTGGGGAAGATTGGCAGGATTACGTGGAATAACAAAATGTGTAAAATAAAATGAATAGCTGATTGTATCTTAAGAACATTTGATTGGTAGAATACTTCTAGATTTACCAAAACTGGAACTAGCTGTGACTCCCTCTCCCCCACTTTTTTTTCTTAGCATATTTTCTCCTTGGGTTCATGTCTTCACTTTCATCTGTCCCTTCAGAGTGGGTTGACTTATTCCCTATTTCTAAATATACCTGCTCCTGCAAACAATTCTGCCTAAGTTCTTATTTCTTCAACTCTAACTAGTCCTGTTAAGCAGCTTAGGTAAGATGAGCAAGAACTACTTGTGGATGACTAATCATGTAAGCAATTGTAATCTGTTTAGCAATTCTTATCCTAATTCCCTCTTGAGTGTCTGTCTTCTTGTGGTGCTTGGATTATAACCACCTAATGATGGAACATTTTATAAAAGGTGTATGTTAACTAGCTTGTCCTATTATCTCCCTACTTATACTGTTTTTTTAGGAAAACGTTTAACAAATAATTATCATTTAGTGTCTCTGTGTTTTGGCATTCATCTTAAATGTTTATTGTGTTCTCTTTTACAGCATTACACCATAGTCTTAGTGACGCTGAGTCTGACATTAGCATTTAGTGACTAACTCCTCCTCCTTGCTTTAGCTAACACATCAAAACATGACTGAAGTGTATTTTGATCTTCTCATTTGTAAAAGGAGTTCAATAACATCTAACCTGGTAGACGTGGGATAGGATAATAAGAGTGTTTTATTTCAAAGTGCCTAATGTACCTGCTACATAGTAGCATAGATATTATTTATTATACATTATTTACAACATCAGTTTATTAAATTCAGTATTTGATGAGAATGAGTTCAGTTAAAATAGGTTATACTTAGGAAGAAACAAATCAGCTATATCAAATAAATATTAATATAAAACTTGACAATTTAGTAAGAATTCTTAGATATTTGAAGTTAATTAGCTCTTTTTTTTTTAAAGATTTATTTTATTTATTTATGCATACAAGAACTGGGGTGTAGACCAGAGGTGTGGGAGGGAGGGTGTGTATGTGAGAGGATTCATCAGAATCAGAGTGGGGAGCAGAACAGGTGAATCTGCTGAAATACACTGCTGAAGGGGAGCAGTGGGCGAAACAGGAGAGGTCTGCTGCGCCATGTGGGTTAGCTCTCTGGCTGGGGATCGAATTCATGCCACAGTGACTGGTGATAGCTTGAAAGTGCTGAGACTTAACCCCTTACACCACCAGGGAGGCCCTGAAGTTAATTAGTTCTTTTTTTTTTTTTTTTTAGAGACTACTGACTTTTATTTTATTTTTATTTATTTATTTTTAAAAGATTTATTTATTTATTTATTTATTTATTTATTTATTTATTTATTTATTTATTTATACAAGCACTGGGTACAGCCAGAAGTGCGGGAGGGTGAGAGAATTCTCCAGAGCCAGAGCTGGGAGCAGAACAGGCAGAAGGACCGAAGTACACTGCTGAGGGGAGCAGCGGGCGGCAGGAGAGGTCTGCGCGCCATGTGGGACCCTCCTCCGGTGGCTGGGGAGCAGCCGGGGATCGAACCGGTGCTGCAGAGGCTGCGGGCAGCTTTGCAATCCAGTGCTCAACCGCTGCGCCACCAGGGAGGCCCAGAAGTTAATTAGTTCTTAAAATGTAAGCTCTTAAAAGAAAAAAGTCCTATATATTTGGAAGAGTGCCTAGCATCCTCACTGTCTATAACTATTTATTGAACTTGTTGGTGGGTCAGGAACACAGCAGTTGTGGGAGCTGGTACTCCTGTGGCCTAGTTGGCTCAGATTTTTAGAGCTTGTGCCTCTGGGAGACACTTTGTCTGTCAGATGTAGTGAGTCAGGACAATTAAACAATAGAAACACTGTATTGTTTTATTAGGACATTATGCCTTTTTTTTTTAAATCACTTCCCATGATCATTTGGTAAGTCATTTATGAGAAATACCTAGTGTGTGTTATTTTAATTAACTAAATGATTTTATTTCCAACTATTACTATTTGCATCATTGTGTTATGCTGTCCTTGTTAACGTGAAATTCTACCAGTTCCTCTGTTACAAGGTGTGGTTCTAGGAAAGCAGAACACCTGACCTCCGTTCTCTCTGTAGATACTGGGACTTTTATTCTTAACACTGTTAAGGATGATTATTGTGCATGAAATACTCTGAAGTCTTTGATTGCACTTTCAGACCTGATGTTATAAAGGTTAGGTTAGATGTTTACCTTACAAGTATTTTGAGATTTCCTGCAAAATCCCCTTTCTCTCCTCTACTCTTACGAGATTCTGAAGACTGGCTTGCTATGTGATAATTTCTTACTGATCTTTGAATTTAAGAGTTTTATTTCCACCAGTGCCTTCTGTTCCTTCCTGCATTCTTTCAGAATTGGCTTTGCTCAGCTATCAGCCTTTTCCTCTGTTAGTTTTTAACCAAAGATATTCCCAGTTAAAGATTCTTGTCTTCCTGCTCAGGACGCTGGTGTAATTTCTCTTACCACAGCATTTCCCTCTTGGTTTTTCTGGGACACATAGGTTCCAGAAGCTTTTGCATTTTCTTATCAATACTCAGTATATAGGGGCCTCCCTGGTGGCGCAGCGGTTGAGCACTGAGTTGCGAGGCTGACCGCAGCCTCTGCGGCGCAGGTTCCATCCCCAGCCGCTGGGCGAGGCTCCCACATGGCGCGCAGACCTCTTCTGCCGCCCTCTGCTCCCCTCAGCAGTGTACTTCGGTCCTTCTGCCTGTTCTGCTCCCTGCTCTGGCTCTGGTGAATTCTCACACCCTCCCGTGCTTCTGACTGTACCCAGTGTTTGTATAAATAAATAAAAATCTTTTTAAATTAAAAAAAATACTCAGTATATATTCCTGGCCTTCCCTTTTTGTTCGTATTCAACTTATAATCATCTATGATTTCTTTGGGCCTTCCCCACAGGTGACAGCTCCTTCTTTCTCCGTACCTGGCTCATGACCCCACTTCACATTCCTGAAACTCCAGCCGAATATCGCTATAACAGGGCTCTTTCTGCAACTCACAGTGTGATTGAGAAGACTTTCCGAACCCTCTGCTCCCGCTTCCGCTGCCTCGATGGATCCAAGGGGGCACTTCAGTATTCGCCAGAGAAGTCTAGCCACATCATCTTGGCTTGTTGTGTCCTCTACAACATCTCCCTGGAGCATGGGATGGACGTTTGGTCCTCTCCAATGACAGGCCCCATGGAGCAACCTCCTGAGGAAGAGTATGAGCACATGGAATCCCTGGACCTAGATGCTGACCGAGTCCGTCAGGAGCTGATCCTCACTCATTTTAGCTAATGTGGAAAGTGGGGAGGAGGGAGGCTTTCCAGGAGTTGTGACAGACTCTCCCCCTTACCTCTCCCCACGTAGTTCCATCCTCTGGCATGATTGTGTGGACACTTGTCATAAATTAACATTTAATCTGCATTTTAGAAGGGTTGAGACGCTCTTCATTTGAAGGTTTATTTAACTAAATCAGAACTATGACAGCAGTTCCCAGCTAGCCGTTGAACTCTAGGTCAAGCACATTCATGTGAAAGCTCCCTTTTGCAGACATTCATGGTGGAGCCGACAAAGTCAAAGCAAAGAGGGAAGCAGCATCTAGTCAGACACTTTTTTTTTGTTTCACTTATCTGGACATTTCAAGGTTTATTTGTCCTGAATTATTTCTATAGGTATTTTAGCTTGTCTACCTTGCTGCCTACATAGGCATAACTCGAGGTGAGTATGAAGAGTAGATTTAAATTGGGGAATAGTTTTTTGACATAAGAAAATGGTTACTAATCTGAGTTTGCAGCTTTACGTTTTTAAGAGGTTAGGAACAGTCAGAAGTTCCTTTAGTTTGTCTGTGATCATTGGACTGTGATTTGGACCTACCTCCTAGGGAGAACATCAGGACTCTAATCTCTTATTTCCAACTCTGAGTAAGAGTTAGAGGCCAAATAGGTTTGAAAGTCCAATCAGATTAAAGAAGACAAGTCAAATATAGATTAAACATCAAGCATACACTTTACAAAGGATCTAAAGGCCCAACAGATTGATGGGCAAAGTATATTCCACCAAGGTTAAACAATGCACCTCTGAATAGATTATATTTCTTATTATCACGATGTTAGAATATCTGTTTAGCCATTCTGCTTAGAAATTAATTGTACAGAAGGAAGAGTTGGGGAGTAAAGAAGGCATGTGAAAGTGTTAAAAAGAGAGATAAAAGTAAAATTTCTTCATTCGAAATTAATTTTGGAATCAGACCTACTTGAATATCTTTATGTGCAAAGTGATGGACAGAATTTCTCAGGAAGTAAATAATCCCCCACCCAGTCTTATTCTAAAATTATACTGATATAAAAATAACCTAATTGGAATAATGAAAGTGTGAATTAGATTTGCACATTGGTGCCTTTGCTGGAACAAAAAAGAGGCTTTCCTGAGGATTTTCTTGTTTCCAGTTTCTCAGCGACTTACCACGTGCCACCTCTGAACTGTCCTCTTGGATCATTTCCTACCTGCCTTTGGCAGTGTTAATCTGGTGATTTTAAAAGTAAAGAAATGAACAGCTGATGAGAGAAGAAATTTGGAAATCAACTGAGGGTGACTCACCCTGAAGATTAAAAACAATTATGGATTATTATCTGTTGTTTATTTCTACTCTAAATGCTATTTCCCATCATCCTCCTACTCCATAAAGATGGGTCCATTTTGCAGGAGGTTGAACTTAATATGGACAATGGTGTCATTGAGATGAGAGTGGACAATGAAGAGGTGACTGTCACTCTATACCTGTGCAATTGAGGTGCCCTGTTACATTTATTTCCTTTTTAAAGTTTAACTTCAGACCCAAGCTTGCTTTGTCTACCTCATAAGGCAATGTTTTAATTCTCACAGTTTCCGACTTTCCTGAGAATGGGCATTTTCCCTACAGAGTTCTGGTTCTGAAAATTGCATGGGGATGGACTACTGCCACCCATGTATCATAAATGGTAAGGTAGAATGTGGTTATACTAAGTGCCTAGCATTTTAGTCTTAAAAACCTACAGTAAAGGAAAATTGTTTTCCCCCCACAATTTAATTCTCTAGATGGTAACATGAAGCCTGAGGGGGAATTACAGTCTTGTATTTCAGAAGCAACTTGAAGTTTATCACTTGCACACCAAAGATAATTTCTAAGTACTGAATTCACCAAACATTGTCTGGCAATGATAAATTCTAGAGTCTTAAAATGTCCATACTTTTCAGTCCTTTGATATAGTTCACCACTGGAAATTTATCTTATGTAAAAAATTTCAAAGAAGAAAGAGCTCCTATCATTCTACTGTGAAGAATGACCTGCTGTTCTCAAATATCTCTCCTTCTGGGCTTCTATAGTGCTATACTGCTTCCGCCTTTACCATAAAAGCCCTATGTATGTACATTACTCCATGGTGTCATGAGAGGAAAAGTCAGTAGAACTGCAACTGCCAAACCTACAACTGGCTCATCATTTTGGCTGCTCAAGGCCTAACTCTTCTTCCTGGACTTACTAATAAGATGACTCATGGTAGTGATACAGAGTTATCTCAGCCTAGGTTTCTATCCCCAGACTGCAGAAGACTTTTCTCCTAGCCCAGAGCCAAGATAAAGAACAGTCTCTTTCTCCTCTCTTGTTTTCCCTCCCTCTTTTGCCCTCTGTCCCAGGAAGTTTCCTCAGACCAGCATGTTTCAAAACTTCTTTTCCAGGTTTAGTCTTTCCAGATTCTTTCCATATGAATGACAATGGTCAGGTCTGTTCATAGAGTGACCAACCATTCTGGTTTGCTCCAGAGCCTTGAATTTTTACTACTGAAAGTCCTTTGTCCTGGAAAACCCCTTAGTTCTGCGCCAAGAGGGACAGTTGGCCACGCTACTTCAGAGGAAGCATCATTTTCCCTTCAAAAGAGTGTCTTCCCCTACCCCCTCAGAGAATCCTATGAGAATACAGTAATCAGGGCCTCCCCGGTGGTGGTGCAGCAGTTGAGCGCTGGGTTGCGAAGCTGCCCTCAGCCTCTGCAGCGCCGGTTCCATCTCTGGCCAGTGGGCGAGGGTCCCACATTGCGCGCAGACCTCTCCAGCCGCCCACTGCTCCCCTCGGCAGTGTACTTTGTCAGTCTGCCTGCTCTGCTCTCCCCTCTGGCTCTAGTGAATTCTCTAACCCTCCCGTGCTTCTGACTGTACCCAGTGCTTGTATAAATAAAAAAAAGAAAAATAGAAAAAAAAATACAGTAATCAACAATCAACACAGTCAGACTTACCACCAATAGTAGAATATCAGTCATACAGTCCAGGGTAACCTTTAGTTCTGCCAGCCTGGTTTCTTTTTCTTTTTTTTTTTTCTCCAGTGTGAGGATTCATGTAGGTTGGATGGAGGGTTTCAGTTCTTGATCTCTTGTGATCTACAGTTCTATCCAGAAAAACAAGCAGTAGCCTGCTGTTACACTGAAGTTTAAATCCACCTTTGAAACACTTCTCTAAAGAAAATTTATCTGTAGAGATGCACCTCTAACCAAAGAATAAGGCATCTTTCCTGTGGTTTCAGAGCAGTCCAATCTCTGCTTCTCAAATATCTCCATTTTCAGATGATTTTGGATTTATATTTGCATAAATTCCAGGTATTTTTCCCCAATACAAGTCTCCAGCATTTGAAAAACTGAAAACTTTATATAGCCTCAAAATTAGTTTCTTTAGTTTTTCTCATGGAGATCAAGTTTTCAAAATAATGCCATTATTTAGGCCAAATTTGAATGAGGACTGTAGACACTTAGGCTTCACAAGTCTCTCTCCTAGAGGGCAGTTTCACTAAAACATGTATTATAGGAGTAGAAACTCAGCTCTGGGATGACTGTAAAGAAAGAGTCTTTACCTGACCCTCATCTTGCTCCAGGAATGTGGCAGAGACTGCTTATTTACTTGTCACCAGTATCCATTTACCCCTGATTCTTACTGGACACATGGCTGTTCAGGATAAAGACTAATTCCCAGTTAGGTGTGGCTATTTGACTAAATCCTAGCCAGTGGAATATAAGTGGAAATGTCCTGTGCTATTTTCAAGATTATCCTGTTAGCTAGGAGACATGACTCTTCCCTTTCGGCTTCCTGCTGGTTAGAAAGCAGATATGATGGCTGAAACTTGAGCAGCTGTCTTAGATCTGGGATGAAAGCCACTTATGGAAGATGGCAAAGCAGTGAGCTAGAAGTCTGGTTCCCATACCTTAGCCTAGGCTGTATACCTCTGGATTTCATTTATATGACAGAGAAATAAAACACCTTGCTTCTTAAGTCTTTTTGTTTATGTGTGATAGTTTTAATCATAAATAATGAGGTTATAATTGCCTTTTCCCAAGAACAGTAATATCTATTACACAGAAAATGTTTGGAAGCAACAAACATATTCAGCAGTAGGGAGCATGGCCAATATATTCTCTTAGTGGAATATTGTGCAAATTTTAAAAATAACAACAATTAAAGACTTTAATGGGCAAACAATACAATGCAAAAACAATAACAATTGTATTTCAGCTTAAATTAACTTTAAAATGATAGTAAGATATTTCCAAATTCTGCATGGGAACATGGACAAATTAAGACTTTGTATTTGGGAAGCAGATTATTAATTAAATTCTTTTTTTTTTTAGACTTTCATAGATGTTGCTATAATGTTTAGATCTTTAAAAAGTCCACTAACGGTGGTAAACAACAAAAGTCCTGTGTTTCGTCCTTCTATTTTGGATGCTGGTCTTACCCTGTATTATATATGAGTTGTTCCTAAAATATTTTCCCTGACTTAAAGGAGATTTTTAAAAAATTACAATAAAATGTAGATACAGTTAATCTTCATAGGATGTGGTCTTTCACTTTAATCAAATTATACACTCTGTATCTGAGACTATCATCTCCTTTGCTGTTCAAGTCTGTGCCTTTCTTAGAAGAAAATAGGGTAGGCTGTTTTGTTGCTCAAATAACAAGTAATTCTTATTTGTAGTGATTTATTGAATTGTATTTAGGATGTACATATTAATCCATATTTGTGCTGAAAGTATTAATTTGTTTCTTGAGACGTCAAGAAACAGGCTATTGCCATGATAGAGGCTATTTAAAGAAAGAGGCTATTGCCATGATAAAAATGTCAACAAACTTTGTCTCAGCTTCTAAATCCAAAGAGACATTTGCTCATTATTCCTGTGGTTCTGAGCCTTTGTAAGAAACTAAAAGAGAAAAGCAGTAGTTGTTTTCTTCTGCTTTGAGGCCAGAGTAGACAATTCTGAATTTTCCCAGCATCTCTTTGCTATGCTTATGGAAACTAGGAGTTTTAGTATTAGCTTTGTCTCTCATCTTGAATTCTCCCCTATTCTCTCTCTGCCTCCCCCACCCAGTCCCGTGTTGTGTGTGTGTGTGTACATAGATGACAGGCACATATATAATACATGTACGTATATACCTATCTTTTATTAACTTCACTCTTATGTGAGGAAACTAACGATCATTTTGCTCAACTGAAATTCAATCAGTTGAAAGTGCTGGGAGTCCATAAGGTCGTCGACGAACTACAGACAACAAGTGTCGCGACGACTTAATCGTCAACACTCAAGAAAACTTCCACTTCTCCAAACACCTTTAAACAGTCCGCAACCGACACAGAAAATGGCAGAATAGGCTATTTTATTCCCAGGCTTAAGATCTGGGTTTGTTTATTTATGCCTGGGACGGGCCCCCGGTCTCGAGTTGGCGTGGAGCTGTTTTTCGGCGCTCGATTGCAACTCCTTGAACGACCGCTCGGGCGCTCTTGCTGTGCTGTCTGGAGTGTTCGCGTACTCGGTGATCTTCTGCGCCGTCTTCTTGCTTGATGTCTCCCGAGCGGCGGCGGCGCCGGGTCGAAGGCTGACTTCTCCGCGAGGCCCCGCGCTCAGGCTGCCTCCTCCCGCCGGTGGGGAGAACGGACCCTTTGCTTCCTCTCGCCTCTGCTCCCGGTCCGTGGCTGCGTCCACCCGCTGGGCTGCACACCGACCCCCGCCCGCCGCGCAGGTAGGCCCGGCAGGCGCCTGGGAGGCCCGGCTCGGCATCCTTCCGCCGGGGGGTGAGGAGACCTTGGCGCGGGCGGGTGGGCGAGCGGGCGGGCCGCGGGGACCTGGCCGGAGGGGGAGTTGGTTGGCGGCTTTCGGGGGCGCGGTCGGAGAGGCGGCAGGGACCTGGGGGGGAAACCGGAAGGAGGTTGAGATGTTGGGGTTGCCGGGTGGGAATCCGTGGGGAGGGGGTGCGGGGTCTAGGGCGGGTGTTGGCACCCCAGGTGTGTGGGGGAAATCGCTTTCCAGGAACGGATCGCTTGGCTGGCGTTGACCCGCCTCCCTTTCCCCTCCCCTTCGCCCCAAGGCTCCGGGTGTCGTGACTCAGTTGCACTGGTGACCCTAAGTCCGGCCTTGGAGGGGACCCTTGAGTAGTTGGAGGCGTGTGGAACTAGGCCCTCTGGCTTCCTGGAGTGAAGGGTCGTGTTCTCTCCTTTTTTGGGTAGGGAAATTGAGGCTGAGATCTGGGACGTGACCTCTCCCCGCATCCCGGACAGATCTTTAAACACACCGTAAGTCATTTTTTTTTTTTTTGTCATTTACCGGCTCACTTATTTCCCCTTCCATTTTACCGGTCCGTTTATGCACACGGGGATTTGTCGTTTGCGATCCCTGCTTCCTGGGGATATAGATTATAGATTCTGTCACTGGCGACTTCAGAAGTAAAGAAACAGTGCAATCTTTTGGGAGGTTTTGCTTTCCAAAATCTGTGTCATTTCATCCAGAGTAGCAAAAACAGTTTTCTTTCTGTTTCTTGACGGATAATTTTGTTTGCTGTCAGTTTGCTTTCTAGTTGATACCTATTTCTTTACGTTCCCCTCAGTGGAAACCTTTCAACAGTAGTGTGAAGAGGTTAATGTCCAACAGAGAATGGTCAAGATTTTAAGTCAGATAATTGTCCTGGGAGACTTTGCTTTCTAGGAAGGATTCAAAGGAAACCCAACGACTCTTTTGGAACAGTTTTGTTATAACTGAGTAGTGATTTAGTTACTGCGTATACTAGCTTTTAAAAGACTGTGAGTAGGAATCATTTAAATACTGAAGTATTTAAATTGGAAGTTAACATTTTGGGAGCACCATTATGTTTTTTCTCTTTCCCAGCTTGGAAACTTTGGGGACTAAATGTTCATATTCTTTTTATTTTCACTACATTCAGTTTCATCCTAATTTTTGTAACTTCTTTGTTGAAAAAAATAATTAACCTAGAGGTCATTCTGGATTGTTTACGTAGAGTATAGAATCAATAAGAATGGTTTAAAGGGAGAGCAGACTAAATTCCTAGTCCTTGGATGCTATCTGTGCAGTCTATTAACAGTAGACTTAACAATTTTAGTATTTTCATATGAGTTTTGGAAAGATTATTCCTCCTCTAACTTATTTTTGGAGGGGGTGAGGTCAGCAAGGTTTAAATGAAGGGCCCTTGATCATGAGTGATTTTCTAGTTACCAGGACCTCAGTGTTCCCAGAAAGGGATTAATGAAGACCCACTAGAGTATCTTTATGGAGAGTCTACGTAGGGAAGTTAGGCTAAGAATGTATGTTCTTCTTTTTTTTCTTGAAGATTTATTTATTTATGCATACAAGAACTGGGGTACAGGCCAGAGGCGTGGGGTGGGGTGAGAGGATTCACCAGAGACAGAGTGGGGAACAGAACAGGTAAATCTACTGAAATACACTGCTGAGGGGAGCAGTGGGCGAGACAGGAGAGGTCTGCTGTGCCATGTGGGTAGCTCCCTGGCCTGGGATCAAACTCATGCTGCAGCGGCTGCTGATAGCTTCCTAGTGCTGCATCACCAGGGAGATTTTGGACCCCTTGCATCACCAGGGAGGCCCTAAGAATGTATGTTCTATGAAAAAGATTTTATTGTAAAAGGGAATTTATATCAGAGGAGAGAATTTAGAGAAGGAGATAGCATTGTCTCCCGGGGACTGATAGGTTCTGCATAGAATTTAGAGTTAGTATAGTAGCTCAGTGGCCTCTAATGAATGCTAAATAATAAATGGAGGTTGCTATGAGTAAACAAATAAATGTTCAGAACATTTTGTTATGTTTCTGTAGGAAGTAATTAGCAGAGGCCTAATTTGAATTGAGGAGGACAAGAAATTTGGTTGTGGTGTAGTGAGGTCACAGGGATGGATCTTATCAACTTCTCCCCTGCTCTGTGATAGAAATTCACTCAACTTTTACCTTTTCTTAGTTAAATCTTATGTTCTGTCACTGTCAGATCAGATCAATCTCTTTTCTGGTATTTCCTTTAAGAAATATATGCAGGGGCCTCCCCGGTGGCGCAGCGGTTGAGCGCTGGGTTGCGAATCTGCCCGCGGCCTCTGCAGCGCCAGTTTGATCTCCAGCTGCTCCCCGGCCACCGGCCACCGGAGGAGGGTCCCACATGGCGTGCGGACCTCTCCTGCCGCCCGCTGCTCCCCTCAGCAGTGTACTTCGGTCCTTCTGCCTGCTCTGCTCCCCGCTCTGGCTCTGGTGAATTCTCTCACCCTCCCGCACCTCTGACTGTACCCACTGCTTGTATAAATAAATAAATAAATAAATAAATAAATAAATAAATAAATAAATAAAAAAAAATACAAAATTAAAAAAAAAAAAAGAAATATATGCAGGTTCAGAATATGTCTGAATTATTCGTCTTCTCTTTTATTAAGAAAGTTTGTGGGGATTGGGCTTCCCTGGTGGCTCAAGGGGTTAAGCACAGCATTGTGAAGCTATCTGCAGCCATTGCAGCACCAGTTTGATCCCCGGCTAGGGAGCTACCCACAGAGCGCAGCAGACCTCTCCTGTCTCGCCCACTGCTCCCCTCAGCAGTGTATTTCAGTCAGTCTGCCTATTCTATTCTCCACTCTGTCTCTGGTGAATCCTCTCACCCCCTGCATCTCTGGTCTGTACCCTCATTCTTCTATGCATAAAATAAATAATTAAAAAAAATATTTATTTATTTTTATACAAGAGCTGGGGTATAGGCCAGAGGCATGGAAGGGTGAGAGGATTCACCAGAGACAGAGCCGGGAGCAGAACAGGCAGACTGACTGAAATACACTGCTGAGGGGAGCAGCGGGTGCGAAAGGAGAGGTCTGCGGCGCCATGTGGGAATCTCCCTGGCCAGCCAGGAATCAAACCGGCGCTGCAAAGGCTGCAGACAGCTTCCAGTGCGCCACCAGGGAGGCCCTAAAATAAATAAATCTTTTTTAAAAAAAGAAAGTTTGTGGGGATTATGGAAGATGTAAGCTTCTTTTTATTTCTTCTAGAACTTGTCTTGGAAAGAGTTATGTATATCACTTAAAAAAGAATAATTATGTAGATCATTTGAAAACAAATGATTATTTCTATTACTATTTTTTATTTTTATTAACAGTAATAACTTTGTTTTATACTGTGTAATTTTCAAAATATTTTCAGCATGTATTAGGGAACTTATGAAACTTGTATTCTTTTGATGTTCCTTTATGCTTTTTGTTAATACTGAATCCAAACATTTATAGTGTTCAAGGATCTTCATGAATGTTGGCAATAACAAAAGATAAATCTTTTGTTAAAAGATATATCTCACCCTTGATGGAGTTATTTTGGAATGGGATGCAGTTTTTTTGCCCAGTGGTTTGGCTTACCAAAAACAAAACAAAACTCCATAAGTTCCTTTAATCATAGTCATTCTTGTTTCTTTTTCCAATTGTTCCTCATAAACCCAGAGAGAACTTTTTGTTTCTTGTCATAGTTTTTGTTTGTACAGAAGTGCTATGGTACAACCTGTCCTGTGGTTTGGGGGTAATTTATATTTTATATTTTCAAATGCCTTCTCCCCATAAGTTAATCAGATCTATTATTTTTCTTTTAACGAAGGTGAAATACGTTACCAATATATCAAAATTTTGTGATCAGTTATTGTCAGGTTGTATTTCTGTGCCCAGTAGTATGTGGCAGCCTGCCCAGTAATGTGATGTGGTGGTAGAAGCAGATTAAGGAATCAGGAGACCTGGGTTTAAGTCTTGGGTTTACCAGTTTACTAGCTGAGAGATCTTTTTTTTTTTTTAAAGATTTATTTTATTTATTTATGCATACAGGAGCTGGGGTATAGGCTAGAGGTGCAGGAGGGCTGAGAGGATTCACCAGAAACAGTGAGGAGCAGAACAGGCAGACTGATTGAAATACACTGCTGAGGGGAGCAGTGGGGGAGACAGGAGAGGTCTGCTGCACCATGTGGGTAGCTCCCTGGTGCAGTGGCTGCTGATAGCTTCATGGTGCTGAGACTTAACCCCTTGCACTACCAGGGAGGCCCCAAGAGAAGAATCTTGCACAAACTATTTAAGGATACCATAAGGAAGGTTACTCTCCTTTTTAGAGCATTTACTGTGTCATGTTCTTTACTGTGTTACTTCATTTAATACTTGTTAACAGTCCGTTAAGTTAGGTATTATTTTCCCTATGCATACACAATTCAGAAAGAAAATTGACCAGGATCACACAGCAAGTATGTGGCAAGGCTGGGATTCAAATTTAAGACTTTGGTGCTTTACTGAGTATACATTTAAAGAATGTGAAAGATAATACTTTTGTCATAATTCTTCTGTTGAGAAAAATTATATGAAACTACTTTAAAAAGATAAAGTGCTCTTAGAATATTAAAATCTATGTGAGTGATAGATGAATTTTAGGTGCTGCAAGTTTAGATGGAATGAAACTAGGGATATTTAACCCTTCCCTTCCTGTTAGTCCTGGTTTATGTGTCTGTAGATTGGTGTAGTATCTTTGCTCTCCGCCTCTTTGTTGGTAAGAGTTGATAATCTCCACTTCTCCACTTAAACTTTTTCCTTTCTTTGTTGAGTATTGTGCTTTTAACTGAGGTGTGAAATACTTCTGTCAGACCTTTTGGAACTATTTCTTGATTGTGACTTTGCTTCATCCCTTAACTGTTCATGCTTTTGTTCATATAGCAACTATTTATTGAATGCTCATTAGATGCTAATACATAGGTAAGCATTAGTGTTCTTGCTCTGGCAGAGTTTATTCCAGTGGGGAGCAGAATTGTCTAGGTACCTAATAAATACTGAAATTCAGCCAGTGGTCTGAAGGAAACAAACAAGGATAGAGAAGGAGGAGGGGGCTGTGGGGCAAAGATAAGCCAACTACTGGGTGTTTGCAGGGATTATCATTTTCATCATGATTTCCTTAATCCACCTAAAAAGTTGCAATTGCAACATGCCATGATTCAGTGAATTAAAGTTCCCTCATTGCGGGCCTCCCCGGTGGCGCAGCGGTTGAGCGCTGGGTTGCGAAGCTGCCCGCAGCCTCTGCAGCGCCGGTTCAATCCCCGGCTGCTCCCCGGCCACCAGAGGAGGGTCCCACATGGCGCGCAGACCTCTCCTGCCGCCCGCTGCTCCCCTCAGCAGTGTACTTCGGTCCTTCTGCCTGCTCTGCTCCCCACTCTGGCTCTGGTGAATTCTCTCACCCTCCCGTGCTTCTGACTGTACCCAGTGCTTGTATAAATAAATAAATAAATCTTAA